AAAAAAGAAAAAAAAAGTGGATGTTTTTAGGGCCTTCTCATGGCTTTCATATGGACGTGCATCTTTGGGTGCAGGAGGATTAAAAACTTAAAAAGAATTTATCAAATTTGAAAGATACTGCTCAAGACAATATTTGAAACTAGCAGGGGAAGTACTGATGGTAACTGAATCAGGCACTCAAACTTATAAAGCATAATTATTCTAGGTCTCTTAACAGGTGTGTCCAGGTATAAATCACTAGCCTATGTATGGATATTTAAGCCAGGAAAACCCGTTTTTAAAAACACTCATAGCAGGGAATAAAAGGCAAAGAATTAGAAAGAGAACAAAGGTACTCACAGAAGGCCTACACTTAAAATTGCAGTCAGCAGTTTAAGAACCTGTTTTAGACTATAATCACCACAATTAATCATGAAAACCCTGTTTCACTTCTTCCAAGAAGTGAACAAAAACATATACTAAGAACCAAAACATATACTAAGTTGCCAAACATGAAAATTAGGTTACATTCAAGCTGTTACCTCTAAATTAAAATGGTTATAAAGCAAAATTGTAATTATTAATTAATGGAAAGTTAAAATGCATAAATGGTCTTTTTTTGGTGTTTTATTTAATACTGGTTTGCATACAAAATTAATTTGTGTTTTGTTTATATACATTGTACTTCACACATTCTTTCATTCACGATGTTTTATACAATCATTCCCATATACTGTTTTGTTTTGTGTTTTTTTTAAATAAAATTAACTGACCACTCGCCCATGTCCGCAATTATCCTGACTTTTCAGGTCCTTAATGGTTCTTTCCTAATTCCTTCATCCCCTCCCTCCGCCCAACAAACTCTGCAACCTTTGTTCCATTTATCATGATGTTGCTTACCAGTCCAGTGGTAAGAATCTTTGTTTTCTTGACACTGAGATACAATCCATATTGAAGGTTGCATTCTTTGATCTTTTGCAAGAAGTACTTCAAGTCTTCCTCACTTTCAGCAAGTAAGGTTGTGTCATCTGCATAATGCAAGTTACTGATGAGTCTCCCTCTGATCCTGACAGCATATTCCTCTTCATAGAATGCAGCTTCTCAAGTAATTTGATCAGGATATAGACTGAATAGGTACGGAAAGGGAATACAACTCTGTCTCACTCCCTTCTCAATTTTAAATCATGCAGTGTTCACATTCTCTGTTTGCATAATAGCTTCCTGGTTACGAACCACAATAAATTGGTAGTTTGTTGTGTTTGAGGAGAACACTGTTCTAACTGTTATAGCACTTGTCTGTCAGGTTTGCTGTACTGAGATAACTTGTAGCTTGTCTTAATACTGAAAGTTGTGCCACTGGTGTGTCAAATGCCCATGATGGACAGGTTTTAGTAGACCTCCCAGATTAAGACAAGCTAGGAAGCAGGAATAGCCAACCACTTTTTAAATAATATGCCTCTGAAAACCCTATGAACATAAGAATGAACAAAATCTACTACACATCTGTAAGAACCAAAACAGCATGGTATTGGCATAATCACAGATACACAAACCAATATAATAAAATCAAGAACTCAGAAATTAACCCATCTTTCTATGGTCAGCAGGTATGTGACAAGGAAACCAAGCCAATCAAATATGGAAACAATGACTTCTTCTACAAATGGTGCTGGTAAACTGGACTTCTACCTGTAGAAGGCCAAAACTGGGTCCACATTTCACATTATAAACAAAAATCAACTAAAACTGAATAAGAGACATTGGAGAAAACCCCAATCAAAATCATAAAGATTGTGAAAGACAAAATGGAACCAATCTTAGAAAGCCTAGCCTATAGTACAAAGAGGGTTACATATATAGCATAACCAGGAGAGGATATCATCAATGAACAGGACCATCTAAATATTAAGTCCTTGAATGCATCAAACACTTTTTGTAACATGAAAAGAAAATCTACAGACTGGGGAGGAAAAAAAGTCTGGCAACAAAATCTCAGAAAAAGGTCTCATAATAGAATACTATAGAACAGTTTACAGAATACTACTGGGCCTCCACAAGAAAAAGACTGATGACCCATTTACAAAATAGGCAAAAGACTTTTCACAATAGAAGACATTCATATGGCCAACAGACACATGAAGAAATATTCAAAATCAGTGGCAATAAGAAAGATGCAAATCAAAACCATAATGAAATACCATCTCACCATAGTAGCAGTGGCAAAGTTCAACAGGACAGCAAGCAATGGAGAGGATACGGAGAGATTGGAAGCATCATACAGTGTTGGTGGGAGTGTAAAATGTTCTTTCTTGTAGCACTGAACACCACACCCCAAAAAATGCATTTATAAATTGTGTTAGTTCAAAGTCTCCACAAATCAGACAACAAAACCTTAATGGAGGACTGAAAGATTTATCTGGGGAAGGAGGTGATGGAGGGGAGCAAGAGATAAAGTACTGGTAGCCAGAGGAGGCCTGGACAGCCTTTAATCACAAATGTTCTATTTGCAATGATATTAAATATTAAATACATATTGAATTAAGAAAAGGATAGTGCTGTGGTATATTTATTTTTAGAAGATTAGTAAAAAGTATCAGAAATAGGTTTTTTAAATTTTTATTTTATTATTTTTTTGTGTATGTGCAGTCAAATCAGATCTGACTGGTACAGGAGGAGATTGTCCCTCCTTCTCCAGCAGAGCATCTGCTGGATTCAAATAGTGTATCTCTGGGATTGCAGTGCAGCTTCTTGCCACTAGGCCACCTGAGCTCCCTTAGAAATAGTTTTATTCTCTTATTTCTTATTTTAATCTCTTATTGACATGAAAGAGTCAAGGAGACCTGGGGCATGTGTGTAAATATGTGTGTTGACTAGTTGCAATGGGGGCACCAATTCCTTGGCCATTCTAAACATTAGAAATGCATTAATTTGGCTCTTTAAAAGAACAATGCCTGGGACCTCTGGTGGCCTACTGGCAAGAAGCTGTGCTGCAATGCGAAAGGCATACGGTTCAAATTCATCACATGCTCTGCTGGAGAAGGATGAACAATCTCCTATGCCAGTTGGATCTGACTTGATGGCACACAATAAAAGGGGGGGGACAGTGGCAATTTTAAACTTGTCTTAAATAGCAAGAATGGTGGTTGTAAGATAACCATGTAATGGTGGGGCATCTATGCACAGAAAGCACTAAAGTGACTAATGTCTTCCCACTTTTCCTACAGATCATGAGCTGCATGGACAAGGGAGTCATGTTGCAAGTAACATGAGCGATGAACCAGGAAGAAACGCCACCACTCATAACAAGTTTGACACCATCATCTTGCCTGTCCTTTACCTCATTATATTTGTGGCAAGCATCTTGCTCAATGGCCTGGCAGTGTGGATCTTCTTCCACATTAGGAATAAAACCAGCTTCATATTTTATCTCAAAAACATAGTGGTTGCTGACCTCATAATGACACTGACATTTCCCTTTAGAATAGTCCACGATGCAGGATTTGGACCTTGGTACTTCAAGTTTATCCTCTGCAGATACACTTCAGTTTTGTTTTATGCAAACATGTACACATCCATCGTGTTTCTTGGACTAATAAGCATTGATCGCTATCTGAAGGTGGTAAAACCCTTTGGGGACTCTCGCATGTACAGCATCACTTTTACCAAGATCTTATCTATCTGTGTTTGGGTGATTATGGCTGTTCTGTCCTTGCCAAACATCATTCTAACAAGTGTCCAGCCAACTAATGAAAATATCCATGACTGCTTGAAACTTAAAAGTCCCCTGGGAGTCAAATGGCACAGAGCAATAATTTATGTCAACAGCTGTTTGTTTGTGGCAGTGCTGGTGATACTGATTGGATGTTACATAGCCATATCAAGATACATCCAAAAATCCAGCAAGCAGTTCATAAGTCAGTCAAGCAGAAAGCGAAAGCATAACCAAAGTATCAGAGTGGTAGTGGCTGTGTTTTTTACATGCTTTTTACCATATCACTTGTGCAGAATTCCTTTTACATTTAGTCACTTAGACAGACTTCTAGATGAATCTGCACACAAAATCCTGTATTACTGCAAAGAAATGACACTTTTCTTATCTGCATGTAACGTGTGTCTGGATCCAATCATTTACTTTTTCATGTGTAGGTCATTTTCAAGAAGGTTATTCAAGAAATCAAATATCAGGACCAGGAGTGAAAGCATCAGGTCCCTGCAAAGTGTCAGAAGATCGGAAGTCCGCATATATTACGATTATACTGATGTGTAGGGCCCATGAGATTGCCTTCTCTTGTTGTATAAAGTGTAAATAAATGTTTCTTTTGATTATCCTTTCTTGAGCTCAACACAATATGTATTTAAAAAAAGGGGGTAAAACAATCTAAATTTTGGGTATGATTTGGAGTAAGGAAAAACAAAAGTGAAATAAACGATAGTTAATATGTGGCTCAACAACAGGTCCAGGACTTCATGTTCAAGGTGAATACATAGCATAAAACTTTTGGTGAAGTGCCCTCCTAGAAATTGTGGCTCCTAAGAAGCCAATTTTGCAGAAAACAAAAAGCAGAGAGAAGAAAAATCTAATTAGCCTTGAGGTCCAACACTTGGGAAAGAAAAGAATGCTTTCAGTATATCTTATTTACTACAAATATAACTGAGTATTGATTAGCTAAGTATTGAATATCAGACTATCAAAAGTCCATCTATGAACCAGCTAAGATAATTGGTCATCATCCCACACTGAGTTAATATCTTAGGCATACTGAGAAGAATTTCTGGGGTATGTAGATGGGGATTTTAAACTTGAGTTATTTCTGAGAGAGAGTAAGAAAAGATAATTCAATATTACAATACGTTTATTTTCTGTAATACTGTATCGAACTTAAATTTCCCCATTATAACCATATGCTACATTTACATCCTCATGTGCTAAGAGTTAATAAGAGTCTCAGTTGATAAAAAAGTAAATTTAGTTCATCAATTCATAATTTAGTCTCTTTAGTTTAGAAATAGTGAGCTCTGGTGGTCTAGTGGTAGGGAGCTACACTGTAAGCCTTAAGGCATGTGGTTCAAATCCACCAGCTTTTCCAAGGAAGAAAAATAGGCACTCTCCTTCCATGTGATTTACAACCTCTGGAAACCAACTGGATGGTTAGCTATGGGTCAGTTCTGACTCTACATCACGAAATATAACACAAGTTTAAAAATTGTCGCCTGGTGGGATAACAGATAAAGCAGCAAGTCATTAATACAAAAGCTAGACAAGCTATATGTACTCTGTCCTGGGACACTGAGTTGGGATCAATTAACAGCAGAGATAAGTTTGTTTGCTAACAGGAAAACTGCTAGCAAAATACACTCTCTACTAAACTACACCCTACTCTTTAATCAAAATACCATTATTTTTTAAAAAATACAGCTTTAAATTGAAAGTTAAAGTCACGGAGCAAAGTCCTGTTGAGTAAGAGTAACCATTTAAATCTTAAAATAATTTCTCCTTCTTAAACATAAGTCTTAGGGCCTATACATTCTTTTTTCCAAAGTCATCAACAAAAATTAAGTAAGTACTTGGTTTGGACCATCTCAAAATAATATGTATAGGCTCACAAACAATACGAAAGATAGAAAGGAATTAAAGCCATGCTTACTGACTAAATAAGGCATCATGGTTAATTATCAGAGCAAAAAACCTCCACAAACACGTATAACAGTCAGCAACTGTAATGCAAATTTTATAATTTTACTTACCTAAAACAAGCAAAAATAAAGGTGCAAGAATAACTTATTCCAACAGTAATCACTGATCTGGGGATTATAAAGTGGGAAACTCACAAGCTAAGTCTGATGGAGAGGAAGACAAGAAAGGGGCTATAAGAACGAAAAAGGATTTCTATTAAAATATTCCTCTGTCTATCAAGATTGTTGTTATTATGTGTTATGTTCTATCAAGATTAGATTCTATAAATTTAAAGGGCATGAACTTAATTTGATCCTTTTCATAGGCTCTCCACCTCTCTCAATTATATGTCACCAACTGTGCTTTAGACCAAATAATGCAAAAGAAAGTAGCCTGGTACTCTAGGTGCATTCATTTTGTGTTGACGTGCTAACTGAAAGGTCAGAGATTTCAATTCACCAGCTGCTTTGCAAGAGAAGGTTGTGTAGTGAACTCCTATTAAAAATCTATGGCATCAGAAAACCCACTGGGATTTATCATGAGTTGAAAGCAAACAGAAGGAAGTAGATTAATATGAAAAGGAAGTTTGAAAGGTTAATTCTTTTCTCTATCTCCTGCTTAATGTCTGAGATGAGTTACAGCTTCAGTGTCCTTGTGGCTATTAGTTCCATTAGGTCATATATATATATTGATTTATACATACATACATACATATATACATACTCAAGAACTGCTATGTGGCAGAGCAGAACAGCTTTGCAAGGTTTTCTAGGCTGTAATATTACAGAAACACTGAGTCCCTGGCTAAGTTCGAACCTAAATTCAAAGTTTAGCAGTCAAGTACTTAGCCATTACATCATCAAGAGTCTTTTGAATTATATTAAAAGAAAAAACAGTATTTTAGCTGGGCATACACTTTCACTTTAACACCTTCTAGGCTTACTAGCTCCTATTTAATTCCATAGCTTCTATTTAAATAATGAAAACATCAGTTTCACTGGATGTGTTTGCTCGGTCTCCCCATAAGCCAAAATACCAAGACCCTACCCTACTAAAGATTACCAAAAGTGGTAATTATAAAGTAATTATAATTATAAAGTGGTAATTATAAAGTGGTTCTATACTACACTCAGGAGATTACCAAGCACTTTTCTCCAGCCTAGCCCATTTAGTCCACCAACTTAGGTCTCAAACCTTAGAAGTCTATAAAAATACTTGAAATAATTTTAAATTTATTTCTAAAGCCACATTTAATGTGATAGTGGTTTTATGTGTCTGAAATATCACTATTAAGTCAATGTTGTTATCTCAATTAAATTGGCTTAGAATAAAATAAATAAAATAATATCACAATTTGTTTAAAATCTAAAGAACAAAAATTACCAGTATCACATAGTTCATATATTTACATTAATTCACACACCAGGGTAACAAAAATTATTTATTCAAGTAAATCCATAAAGATGCTTTTGCAAAAATAAAGTATCACTAAAGACAATGCAAAAAACTAT